CAACAACGGCTCAGCCGCGCGAAGTGGCAGGCCACACAAGCTCACAGAACGGGACCGGCGAGTGCTGAAGCCCGTAGTGCGTAAAACTCGTCTGTCCTCGGTTGCAACACTCACTACCGAGTTCCAAACTGCCTCTGGAAGCAACGTCAGCAAAATAACCGTTCGTCTGGAGCTTCATGAAATGGGTTTCCATGGCGTGCAGCCACACACAAGCCTAAGATCACCATACACAATGCCAAGCATCGGCTGGACCTCAACCCCATCGAAACCCTTCTTTGGGATGAATTGGAACGCCGACTGCGAGCCAGGCCTAATTGCCCAACATCAGTACCCGACCTCACTAAGTCCCCGCAGCAATGTTCCAACATCTAGTGGAAAGCCTTCCCAGAAGATTTGAGGCTGTTATAGCGGCAAAGGGGGGACCAACTCCATATTAATGCCCATGCTTTTGGAATGAGATGTTCAACGAGCAGGCGTCCACATACTTTTAGTCATGTAGTGTATGTGTTGGACAACACATGGAATTGAAAAATATATATTTTGTTTGATATCTTTGCAGCATGACGAGTGCTTTTGTCAATAACCTATGTTTTTCTCTCCATGTGTCAGAAGCTAAGTTTAGATGAGAGCAAAGCGGGTGATATGAGTAGGAAACCCTCAGGTACGGATCGTCAGAGCCTCTCTACGCCCTTCTCTGACTCCACCGTCACCCCGGCAACCTATGAAAACTCCAACATAGCCATCTTTGAGGTAACAGGGTGCTCTGCTTCCTTTTTCTCTTCTAAGAACTTTCAGGGAGTTCTGAGGCTTGTCTGAAAGTTGATTCAGAACTATCAAACACATACCTTTTTACAGGGAGTTCTGAGGCTTGTCTGAAAATTGATTCAGAACTATCAAACGCGTACCTTTTTACAGGGAGTTCTGAGGCTTGTCTGAAAGTTGATTCAGAACTATCAAACGCGTACCTTTTTACAGGGAGTTCTGAGGCTTGTCTGAAAATTGATTCAGAACTATCAAACGCGTACCTTTTTACAGGGAGTTCTGAGGCTTGTCTGAAAATTGATTCAGAACTATCAAACGCGTACCTTTTTACAGGGAGTTCTGAGGCTTGTCTGAAAGTTGATTCAGAACTATCAAACGCGTACCTTTTTACAGGGAGACTGGGCTTGGATGAAAAGACTCCCGTCTGGAAACTTTAAAGCCATAACTCCCCAGACAAGTGACGTCTTTGAGTTGGTGAGTTTCTACTGTCAAATATACTGTCAGTTACGATGTAAGAAGATTTGATGATGAGAAATCCAGTTGATTATAACTGATGTTTCTATATTGTCCATTAAAATGAGCCCATTGTCACCTGCTCTGTTCTTTCAGATGAAGGACATACGCCACGAGAACGTCAACCTCTTCCTGGGGTTTTTCCTTGACTGTGGTGTTTTTGGCATCGTGACAGAGTATTGCTCACGTAGCAGCTTGCAGGACTTGCTAAGCAATACTGACGTTAAGCTTGACTGGATGTTCAAGACCTCCCTGTTATTAGACCTTATCAAGGTAACCACTAGTAGGAAAAGTAGTGGGGTGTGGGCAAAATCCTAACAGAAACATACCGAGGCCACAATGTGCTTTAAACCATTTCACATTAATAAAATAATAATAATAATATGCCATTTAGCAGACGCTTTTATCCAAAGCGACTTACAGTCAAGTGTGCATACATTTTTACGTATGGGTGGTCCCGGGGATCGAACCCACTACCCTGGCGTTACAAGCGCCATGCTCTACCAATTGAGCTACAGAGGACCACATTACAGATTTGTTAGAGTTTAGGGTTCCAAAGTTCAAATGCCCAACTCACTGTATACCTACAGCAGGCTACCTTTCTCTCTGACATGACACCAACACTACATTTTTTCTGTCTTCCATAGGGCATGAAGTACCTCCACCACCGAGGTGTTTGTCATGGACGACTCAAGTCTCGGAACTGCGTAGTGGACGGCCGCTTTGTGCTCAAGCTCACAGACTACGGCTACAATGAGATTTTGATGGCACAAAGGTTCCCATACGAAGATCCTTCCGCAGAAGGTGGGTGTTAAGACCACTAAGCTTTGTTACTAGTTAATTTGTAACTAAGATAACATACAGTACAATCTAGCATCATAATAAAACTATCATAAGCAATCATTAAGGTTGTTGTTAGATGGGAGTGTGCGCCTGTACAACAAAATGCTTTATATTAATATTATTACATTTCCTTTCTGTGTATATGTCTGTGTGTTGTGTGTGTGTGTCTGTGTGCATGTGTGTGCATGTGTGTGCATGCGTACTTGCCTGTGTGGTTGTGCAGAGCTGCTGTGGACGGCCCCTGAGATCCTGCGGGGCTCTCACCCAGGGCTGTGCGGCACCCAGCTGGGGGACGTCTACAGCTTCGCCATCATCATGCAGGAGGTGGTGCTGCGGGGACCTCCCTTCTGTATGCTGGACCTGTCTGCTGAAGGTGGGGATCACTCATCCAATCACAACCCCAGACACAAAACAACAAAGTAGAAGAGACAGTCTTAGGGGTGTGGTTTAATACGGGTTGTGGTTTAATAAGGATGTTGTTTAATAGGGTGTGTGGTTTAATAGGGGTGTGGTTTATAGGGGTGTGGTTTAATAGGGGATGCGTGGGTGAGTCAGGCTTCATTTGAATGCGTATACATATATGCCGTCTGTTGCATGCATAGTCCCAGTGCTGTCTGTCGGTTCTCCCGTGTGACTCAGTTGGTAGAGCGTGGTGCTTGCAACGCCAAGGTTGTGGGTTCAATTCCCACAGGGGAAAAAGTAAAAAAATTATGCTCTCACTACTGTCACTCAATGTCTGCTAAATTACAAAAATGTAAAAACAAAAATGTCAGTACTAGTAGATACTGTAGCTTGGTCTTGGCGGCTCAGAGCGTCTGCTCCTGTCTGCCAGATGTCATTCAGAAGGTGAGGAATCCTCCACCACTGTGCCGCCCTGTGGTGTCACCAGACCACGCCCCCCTGGAGTGTATCCAGCTGATGAAACAGTGCTGGAACGAACAGGCAGATAGGCGTCCGTACTTCAATGACATCTTTGACCAGGTACCTGAGACATCAAACAAGTTGATCACTTACTCCACAATCAATGTATTTTTAAAAAAGAAATTTGACTAATATAAGGGAACCTTTTTGTCAGTAAAAGTTTGACTGGAGGATATAAATGTATCAATCGATTTCACCTTTAACCCCCTCCCATCCCCCATCAATCCCAGTTTAAGAACATCAACAAGGGGAGGAAGACCAACATCATAGACTCCATGTTGAGGATGCTGGAGCAGTACTCCTCTAACCTGGAGGAGCTGATCAGAGAGAGGACCGAGGAGCTGGAGATAGAGAAACAGAAGACGGAGAAACTACTCACTCAGATGCTGCCTCCGTGAGTAACAGACGCATACACTCAAAGTTACTGACTAGGATGTACACATTTTTCTCCTAAAACGAAGTATCCAGTTTCCAAAGACTATGGCCCTAAATGGTGTTTCTTCTCTGTTTGCAGATCTGTTGCAGACGTCCTGAAGGTTGGCGGTACTGTGGAACCGGAGCATTTTGAAAATGTAACACTTTACTTCAGCGACATAGTAGGTTTTACCACAATCTGCCAACAGCGAGCCTATTGAAGTGGTAGACCTCCTCAATGACCTCTATACCCTATTTGACGCCATCATTGGCAATCACGATGTATACAAGGTAAGCCTTTTGCTTAGAATGAATCACTTAGCGTGTCTTCTTGTCCACCTTTGTAACCTACTGAAGATATTTCCTCTTCGATGGTAGGTGGAGACAATAGGAGATGCATACATGGTGGCGTCCGGCCTACCTGTTCCCAATGGCAACCGTCATGCTGCAGAGATATCCAGCATGGCTCTGGACATCCTGAGTTCTGTTGGCACCTTCAAGATGAGACACATGCCAGATGTGCCTGTCCGCATACGCATTGGACTGCACTCAGGTCAGGGCTCCATAAAAAATAAAAATAAACATATGAACAAAAAGTACAAATAATTTTGACATTAACGCCACATACCATACTGATATTAAACATTCATCACCATCATAAACATAGTCAAAGTGCCACGAACTTTCATAGGTATCCAGTGTGTTTCACTTTTTCTCACGGTGTGTCTCGTAGGAATAAGCATGACACCAGTGATGTGTGTGTGTGTGTGTGTGTGTGTTTGTTTGTAGGCCCGTGTGTTGCTGGGGTGGTAGGCCTCACCATGCCCAGGTACTGTCTGTTTGGTGACACAGTCAACACTGCCTCCAGGATGGAATCCACAGGAATGCGTAAGACCTCTCAACTGCCACCAGAGAGCCAAATATGGCTAAAAGATGAAGCAATTCTAGGCGTTGTTTAAGGAAGCGCTTTATCCCAGAGTCCCAAAATAAGATTTTTCCTACCATGTTGTTTGCAGCATACCGAATCCATTTGAGCCATAGCACAGCAAAGATCCTGGTGGATCTGAGAGAAGGCTACCAGGTTCAACTTCGTGGAAAGACAGAGCTCAAGGTCAGTTGAGAGCTTTGTACTCTCACTCTCTGGCATTTCTATTACCCTCAAAGTAAAACATCAAATGAACAACTGAACACTGTTTTAGTGACTTATCTGTGATAATAATGACCTTGGACATCTCATGTCTCTACAGGGGAAAGGCATGGAGGAGACCTACTGGCTGGTTGGAAGAGACAGTTTCACCAAACCCCTGCCTGTGCCACCTGAGCTCAAGTCAGGGTAAGGAGTGTCAAGGCAAAGTCCTTTAACGAGATGCTTATCTTTGGTCCAAGTGACTGTGATTCTGCAGGTATCAAACTACACTAAATGACCAAAAGTATGTGGACACCTGCTCGTCGAACATCTCATTCCAAAATCATGGGCATTAATATGGAATTGTTCCCCCTTTGCTGCTATAACAGCACTTTTCTGGGAAGACTTTCCACTAGATGTTGGAACATTGCTGCGGGGACTTGCTTCCATTCAGCCACAAGAGCATTAGTGAGGTCGGGCACTGATGTTGGGCGATTAGGCCTGTCGGCGTTCCAATTTATCCCAAAGGTGTTTGATGGGGTTGAGGTCAGGGCTCTGTGCAGGCCAGTCAAGTTCTTCCACACCGATCTCGACAAACCATTTCTGTTTGGTCCTCGCTTTGTGCACAGGGGCATTGTAATGCTGAAACAGGAAAGGGCCTTCTCCAAACTGTTTCCACAAAGTTGGAAGCGCAGAATCGTCTAGAATGTCATTGTATGCTGTAGCGCTAAGATTCCCCTTTACTGGGACTAAGGAGCCTAGCCCGAACCATGAAAACAGCCCCAGACCATTATTCCTCCTCCACCAAACCTTAAAGTTGGCACTATGCATTCGATCATGTAGCGTTCTCTTGGCAACCATCAAACCCAGAGTCATCCGTCGGACTGCCAGATGGTGAAGCGTGATTCATTACTCCAGAGAACGCATTTCCACTGCTCCAGAGTCCAATGGCGGCGAGCTTTACACCACTCCAGCCGACACTTGGCATTGCGCATTGTGATCTGAGGCTTGTATGCGGCTGCTCGGCCATGGAAACCCATTTCATGAAGCTCCCGATGAACAGTTATTGTGCTGACGTTGCTTCGAGAGGCAGTTTGGAACTCTGTAGTGAGTGTTGCAACCGAGGACAGACGTTTCCACTTCACAATAACAGCACTTAAAGTTGACCGGGACAGCTCTAGCAGGGAAGAAATTTGACGAACTGACTTGTTAGAAAGGTGGCATCCTATGACGGTGCCATGTTGAAAGTCACTGAGCTCTTCAGTAAGGCCATTCTACTGCCAATGTTTGTCTATGGAGATCGCATGGCTGTGTGCTTGATTTTATACACCTGTCAGCAACGGGTGTGGCTTAAATAGCCTAATCTACTAATTTGAAGGGATGTCCTCATACTTTTGTATATAGTGCATGTATCATGAACTGATTTCTATACAAACTACACTTTACCAGCAGATCATAAAGAGTTACAAAGGCTGTGTTTAAAAAGGCAGCCCAATTCTGATTTTTTTTTCACTAATTGGTCTTTTGACCAATCAAATCAGTTCTGAAAAAGATCTTGATGTGACTGGTCAAAAGACCAATTAGTGGAAAAAATATCAGAATTGGGCCGCCTGTGTAAATGCAGCCTCTGACTATTTACAGTGGACACATGCAGCGCATCATGAGTAGGGTTGGCCAGCTTTGGTCTTGAGTTCCTATGTGGGGCATTTCCTTTACCTCTCCAATGTATGTTTCAGGCAAATGGCTCATGGCTTGCAGATGGAGGAGATCAGCCGATACAAGCGGAAGAAAGCGGAACAACAACAACTTGCCAAGAATAATAAATGAAGTAGTGTTATGCATGAAAAATGTATAGCATTACAAGGTGTTCATGACTAGAGTAGTATCTCAGTGGGATACTCATTATGTACACTGACTACCTTTTTACTCTTCCTGGATGTTGTTCTGCTGAAGATCTCTGAAGATCTTGCTAACAGCTGACTAACGTTGTGTTCTTTCAAACTTAAACGGAGCGCAAGTGGGACTCTCTCTTCAGCAATGACAGTTCAAAGGGGGAAAAAAAAGGCCACAGGCTTTATGAACTGATGTCCCACATCCTTCTTGCTGTCTTTCAGAACGAAGACAGCGAAGGACTTAAAGCATCTCCTGCAGAAAGCGGTGAGGAGGCTCTTGACTGTGCGGACAGTGACTCTGACTCTGGCAGCAGGTTTGGATGAGGAGGACAATGTGATGATGCATCATCACTGAAATGGTTATTTGCAAGAAATCCCTCTAGTGGATGAGGAGGAAACATCAAGTGAAACCTGGTGAAACCTGGATACCCTCTCTGAAACCTGATGAAACCTGGATACCCTCTCTGCACTTGTGTTTGCCATTTTGACACTCAATGACTTTTTTTTCCAACCATGGCTCGATACTCTTCCTATAGAAATGGGAGTTTGAAAAGTCACTGCCACAGACCATAGCATATTTTGCTTGAGCAGGAAAAGGGACAACGTTTTAGGTAAAGCTATGAGCTGCTACTAATCAATGGACGTTTTTAGAAATAGACAATGCCTAATTAGGACATGGTGAGTTGCCATTACTGTACACCATACAGTTGGCATCAGTGGACATAATATTACAGTACAATATACTGGAGAGGTTATTCTGCAATCTTCATAAGAAGCCCTTCGGAGAGGAATTTGTCTCTGGGGAAGGAGCTATAAATAGCATATGGGATTTCGTCACTGAGTCGTAGAGGGATCGCATTTCTCACCTGTCCCTCACCACAGTTGTCCCTTTCTTGAAGCAGACAGCAAGTAGAAGATTAGTCACTGGTATAGGATGAAGAAAACACTCTCTACAGTGGTTCTCAGTGAAAAGAAAAATAGTGTTTTGACCCAGTTGCGTTGGTGCATGATGTAGCCTACAATCTATTATTCATCTCGGGAGCATGTGTTCTTCTCCTGTGCTCAAATAAACAAACGAACATGGGGCAAGTATGTAATAACATACAAGGGTTATATAAGGGTTGTCATGTATATAGTATTTATTTACCTGTAAATATGATAGTGTATTGCAACGTGAAACTGAATCTATGTTCAGAGGGGCGGCAGGTAGCGTAGTGGGTATGAGCGTTGTGCCAGTAACCGAAAGGTCGCTGGTTCTAATCCCTGAGCCGACTAGGTGAAAAATATGTCGATGTGCCCTTAAGCAAGGCACTTAACCCTAATTGCTCATGTAAGTCGCTCTGGATAAGAGCGTCTGCTAAATGACTTAAATGTGAATTTATCCTGCTATGCAGTTGTAGCCATCTAGCTGAGCCATCTGAAATGTTTCCCTAATCTCTATAGTCGTTCACTTGAGATGATAAAACAGTTGTTTTCCCTGTCATTATCATCCGCATCTCAAAATAAATGGAATTTCAATTGCAAATGGTTTGTTTTGTCACACAGTGCTTGAGATGGTGGGACCTCCCCAAGTACAATATCTTGTGATTCAACTATGCAATAAAAGGCTGTGTAGAGGAATAAATAAAACGTGCATCAAACATACATCTTTGTTTTGCATCAATTGTCCAGTGGACAAAGTGACATTCTACAGTATCAGAAACTGGGGCATTTAAAGATCCCAGTGTTTTTCATCTGAACTCCAGCAGGCTCTATGTTACCCCTCTAAGGCTGAATGTATAGGTACACCATATGGAGACAGGAATGAGGCCATTAGGCATACAGATAATCCTACACATAGGCTATCCTCATTAAGAAGGGCATAATGGATTAACATTTGCATTAAATCCTTTCATCAGGGAGTGAGACAGAATATAGTGTAAACTCTACTCAGGTATCTAGCACTGTCCCTTGAGTTTATAAAGCAGATTTGTTGCAAAATATAACAGCTAATAATAATAGCTCCAAAACACTGAAATAGAGAGATGATGTATCTGAACAGGTCCATAGCCAACCACCTTCGAGTCAATTATATGAAACGCAAAATACACTTCTAGAGTTGTCACGCTGGCAACTTTGTTTAAAAAATAATTTTACGTTGCATAGCTTTTTATAGTGTTCAAAGATAACCCAAGTATCGTCGAGGCCAGAGGCCAAAATTAATTGATCAATTAACTTTTTTAAATGTTCGGAACCACTCGATCTTATTGGCTGGTGGTGTTGTCTGTGACTGTTCTCGTAAATCATACAGCCTGACCAATCAAAACGGCCATTGCTATCTGGGCTCCTTGGGACGTCCATACCCTAAATCCTAACCCTAACCTTAACCCCTAACCCTAACCCTAACCCTAACCTTAACCCCTAACCCTAACCCTAACCCTAACCTTAACCCCTAACCCTAACCTTAACCCCTAACCCTAACCTAAATACAATTTTAAACGTCAACTTCAATTGGGAGGGTCCGGACTTCCCAAGGATCCCGGATAGCACGGACCCAATCGAAACGCAGACAGAGTTGTTTTCATTTTACCGAAGTGCAGCCTGCCTTCAGGAGAACTTAGGGATTTATTCGTTTTTACTGCAATTGCACATCAAGTGTTGCTTTTATTCGTGAAGTACCTGGTGATTACCCAAACAGGTAAGGAAATGTATTTAAAAAATCTAAACATGAAACATGTATGAAGCGTGCACAAACTACTGAGCAGTAATAGTTTTTTGTTTTCCCAGGAAAGGCGCGTTGACAATGCCGAAAACACCTGAGTGCAGCGGTATGGACCTAGGAGGAGATGTTTCTCATAGCTGCGATTCACCAGCTCCGAAACTTAAATCATCGACATCATCATCACCACCATCATCTTCCTTCAGCAGCAGTGCTCACCTTCAGCTAGAGGCAGCATCACCACCGCCCCTCCAAGATCTCCAGTTGAAGAGGCATCATAAGCAGTACTATAGCCATGGACATAATATGTTACCTAAGAAGAATCCTCTGGATATTACGGTGAGAGACTATTCATCATCCTGTGTCTATGAGGTACCTGACTCTGGTGGTGTTTCCCATGACCGGACTGCCTGCTCTGCATCTGCCATAGCCTTAGCTGTGACTACCTCTGTTTGCTCTGGTGTTGAGGCTAGAGATGTATGGAAATCTGGATACCTGAGAAAGCTGAAACACAGTCACAAGAGATTTTTTGTCTTGAGAGGGCCAAGCAACACAGGCCCCAGCCGCTTGGAGTACTATGATAGTGAGAAGAAATTTAGAAATGGAATGAAATCCATTTCTAAATCTCCAAGTGCTGTGGGTTCTCCTAAGAAGGTGATTTATCTGTATCAATGTTTCACTGTTAGTAAGAGGGCAGATTCTAAACACAAGCACCTGATAGCCCTGTACACTAAGGATGAATACTTTGTCATGATAGCGGAGAATGAGGAAGAGCAAGAGAATTGGTACCTGGCTCTGAGTGACCTGATGATCCAGGAGAAAAAGGAGTACCAGGACGTTGAGGAGTTGGATGATGGATACTGGACCATCTCTCCTGGAGCCATCTTCAAGGAGGTGTGGCAGGTGATCGTAAAGCCCAAAGGTTTAGGACAAACCAAGAACCTGACAGGAGTGTGCCGGCTGTGTGTCTCTGCCAAGACCATTCACCTAGTGAAGCTGTGCTCGGAGATGACGTCTGTGAACCTGCCTCTGATGAATGTCCGTCGCTGTGGTCACTCCGAGAGCTTCTTCTTTATAGAGGTGGGCCGCTCATCCTCCACTGGGCCGGGGGAGATCTGGATGCAGGTAGAATCAGGTGACCCTGTGGTGGCTCAGAACATGCACGAGACAATCCTGGAGGCCATGAGAGCCCTGAGGGCCATCCCTGATTTCAGGCCTCGGAGCAAGAGTCAGTCATTCCCATCAAACCCCTGTGCCGTAGTCAACACGCGACGTCAACACCATGGCAACCTCCCACCCAGCCAGAATGGGTTACAGCGCTCTACAAGGACCGAAACTGTTGTGAGCAAAACGCCCCCACAGAACAATAAAGGAGATGGAGGCCACAGCCCCAATCAAACTTCTAACCAAGGAGAGGGGACAATGAACCAACCGATCAGCCCAGGGACTGGCACCTTGGCTCTCCGTAATGTCTGCATCAATAAAAGCCTTGAAGAGAGCCTCAGTCACTGTGCATGCATCTCCACCACCATCAGTGTATCCAGCAGCAGTGGCAATGGCTCTGATACACACCCCTGGCCCTCTGACACTTCAGTCTTTGGTTCTCCCAGTGACAGAGGCTCTGTCTGGGCTGAGGATTTGTGCTCCAACCCATGTGTCTTGCAGTTCTCCAGCAGTAACACCCCAGACTCACTGTGCAACACCACTCTCATTGAAGAGAACAGCCTGACTGACTACGTGGCCATGGATTTGCAGGTAAAGGCTGTGGCCAGGACCAATCAAGGAGATAGCTGTGATGTGGAAATGTCTACCCATGAACATTCCAGACAATACCACCTAACCACCTCATGCACTCCAAAATGTGAAGAATGTCTCTCATCCAAGCCCCCCTTCCTCCATATCTATAATCAGAGTAAACTCACAGTGGAGGACAGTTATATGCCAATGGCTCCTGGCCCAGGGCCTCATTATTCAGATGACATCCCTTCAGATGTCAATGTACCCCCCACTCCTCCTCAAACACCTAGTGTTACCATGTTCCCCTCAGACCAGGTGGGGCCCCAGGGCTACATGATGATGCTTCCACATAGCTGTTCACCAGCAAAGGACAGCCTCAGTGATGTCGATCGTTCACTGTGTGATGAATACATGAACATGTCTCTCGGGAGCCACATGGAAGGCCATACACAGGGCTCACCTGAGGCTCTTAAGTCCTACAGCTATTCCTCTCTACCAAGTTCTAACCAGCCTCCCTCACAGAGGAACTGTGAACATGATGACTATGTCTCCATGTGTCATCCTGCAGCTCACCACTGCTCTGCAGTTGAATGGAACAGTAGAAATCCTCTCTGTAGCTCGCCTCATCACTCTTCTCATCCAAACAGTGATGTGCCTGTGTTGAATGTCACTGGTTTATCCTTGGACCAGCATGGGGTTGAAGATGAAGGTGACCTGCCCACTCAAACTGAGTCTATCCAGATTTCAACAGATCGTCTCAACTACATTGCTCTCTACCTGAGGGATGATCAGTGTGCCACCTGTGATGTCCCTTTGCATACTGATGAGGTCCCTTCTCCACTTCCTGCACGTACCAGTCCAAGAGAGAGTGGGTCTGGACCCGGGCTCTACACTGGCATAGACCTCTCCACATCAGCAAGACAGACTGCTGCCACCAGACGTTGGCTGTGTTCCTGTCTCCCCTTGTGTATCAATACTGATGACAGTGAGTAAGAGTGCAGTTTAAAAACTGTCTGTGCTGCTTTTGAATCAATTAATTATTGAATCAACCAGATTGTGAATACTCAGCCTTGTTGTGTATAGGATGATAATTATAAAATAAATGAGTTATTTGTTCTCAGTGGGATTGTTCATATAATAAATATGTCATGTTTCTGTACTTTTGGTGGTTGTTGCTAGACTGGGTACCTTCCTTGTACTCCCTGGCATATGGCACAGAGTACAACAAGTGGGATGTTAGCTAAAAAGACTGGTACCCAGACTAGGTTGTTTTTTTACACTTGGAGAACATGTTCTTATAGCTCCTTGTAAATACGTTTGTTTTGGGCAATTCCATGGAAACGGAATGACGCAGATCTTTGAAATGTATGCCAAACAAAATCAACTGATTTCAAAGTTGAACAAACCATACAACTGTATGCACAAGGACTACATTTAACAATTTACACAGAAAATTATACAAATGTTCTTGAAGAACAAACAGTGAAGTGCGAAGTTCGGTAACAGAACTTTGCATCTGCACTGTTCATCAAGTAAATGTGTCATTTGTTAAATGTAGTCCTTGTGCATAGAGTTGTATGGTTTGTTCAACTTTGAAATCAATATATATTTTTTTTGTTAAGTAAAGTGAGAGTTGTGAGTCTCCAGGCAATGTATTGGTTGTCAACTGGAAGAATATACTTTTTGTTGTGTAGGCCTAACTTATTTGTATTTTTCATGAATCAAGAGAGGATGTTTGCATTTTTTCCCCACATTCTTCACAGGGCATTTACTGGATAGTTTGCTCTGTACCTGGATGGAAGTCAGCACCTTTGGGTTATGAAAATATAATTTTCTTGCCTTATTTTGTATTGGATTACCATGCCCTGGGCCCATATTCACAAAATACTTATTACGCAAAAACTTAAGTCTTAAGAAAAAAAAATACCGGTAGTTCATAAGATAGTAAGTGCAATTCCTCAACAATATCTTAAGATTTAATGATTTTTTTCCAATAACCTTTTTGAGGAATAGCAACTTTGCTTAACTTTCTTCTTAACTGCCATTTTTTACTTAACTATACATTTAAGAACTATACATTTAAAACATTTATTCTTAAGGTTTTGTGAATCTGGGCCCTGTTGATGTCACCCTTTAATGCATTTATACCATTCATGGATGTAATTATACCACTAAAATAAAGATAATGCAGTTATCCACAGCTTGTCTTCATTTACTGGGCTGGATGTACAACAGGTGATACTATAACCATCATAATGCAGTTTCCACCACACAGAGGGACAGTTAATGTTCCTCACGTTACCATCATCAGTACTTATACAGTGGGGCTGCAGGGACAATAACCATAATTAATTAAATTAATATGCCATTTAGCAGACGCGTTTATCCAAAGCGACTTACAGTCATGCGTGCATACATTTTTGTGTATGGGTGGTCCCGGGGATCGAACCCACTACCTTGGCGTTACAAGCGCCGTGCTCTACCAGCTGAGCTACAGAGGACCACCATAGTACAATTCATCATTAAGGACTTCTGGAAGATTAGTCCGAATGAGGACAACAAAGAGCTCCTAATCAAATCAGTGGACAAGGGTTAGCTGGAAAAAGCTGGAGGGTTAGGTTAATAACGATGGAAAGAGGCAGTTTTGCTAATGATCACTCCAGGCTCTAGTCTACACATTCCATTTCCACAACACTAGCGTCTTCTCACAAATGAAACGTGAGGAAGATGGCGCTAAGAGGCAATATCAACCCCGAGGCTGAGCAAAGTCTTTAAATATCTTTATTGTCAGGCATATTTACAAGAGTGTGCAGAGGGTGGGTGTTCCACATCCCCCTGTCCAATACCTTGGGAAAACCCTTTCCCTCCCCAACCATTGAACACATATAGTTAAGAGGCACTTTTCTTAATAAACAAGTTATTGGTTGTATGTTTGTATTTTAACACTGAAAACCCCCCAGATGTCTGCATATATTTGTCTCCTGGCGTCAGGAGGTAGTGTGTGCTGAGGAAATGGCTTCTTCAGACGTATCATCCTCGTGCCTGTCTTCACCTAGGTCCTCTCCCTGCCACAGCAGAGGTGTAGTCTCACTGTACCTCTTGCAGTACAATGCGGTTCATACATCTGAACGGTCTTCGTCTCTCTTGTTCATTAAACAACTCTAACACAGACTTCCAAAGAAAGCCTGTTTCATATAAAGACAACCATGGTCCCTGGCTTTGTTTCCTGGTTACAACATCAAAATGAGACAGTGCAAGCTTGCATTTACTGTATACACCATGTTCCTGCCTTCCTTTGGTCACGGTCTTGAGTTGTTGTCCAGGATCTTTCCTTATCTAGTATTTGTCTCTTGCTGGGTTGTTAGTGTTTTTTGCAAAGTGGTAAGCAGTTTGTGCTTGGTGTTGTTCTGAGGCACTTCTACAGCACAGTATGGAACATGGGAGCCAAGGGAATCCACCCAATCACCATCATCCACTGGACTGGGCGGAGGGGAGGGGAGCGCAAGGGAGGCTGGTCACACGTTGAGGATCTCAAACTCCTCTTCAGACTCAAACAGCTTGTCGGTCGATTCGATTAACTCTGTTCAAAAAGAGAACAAAAGTAAGCAGTTTGACACAACACACTTAATTTTGGTTTGTATGTTTCAGTTGAGATTAAACACTACACAGGAGTTTCAATAAATAAATAAATAAATACACTTAATGTATAGACCTATACTGTCACTTCAAAACAATATAGGGAAATACAAGAGAGTGGAAGCTTGATATCCTTATAGTTATTTGCAGCCAGGGTTGCTTGTTATTGGTGTAATATTATTGGATCTGTCCGGTGGCTAAGCTCGTACCTGCCCCTGTGGTCTGGACCTCTGGTTTGGTGGGAGGAAAGAAGGGGGGCCAGTGGGACGGGTGATTCTCCACCAGCTCAAACATCCGCAGGTTCCTCTTCATCTGGATCTCCTTAAAGGACAACAACATGGGTCTCAACCACCGGACAATATCCATCTACATCGACTTGTGACTTGAGTGGATTACTCTTACCTGCTGGACCAGGTTACACCAACTGTCGAAGTCATCTTCACTCTTACAAAAAAATCCCTTAAAAACAGACCGAATTTTGATGGGCAATTATGTGGCAAAATCATCACCACAGTATACAAAATTCCCATTAGAGCAAATTTTTAGAACACGCTACCATGCACTTAAAATTCAACTATGAAAACAAGGCCCATGAGATAGGAGGCTCAGTGACATAGCAGGCTGTGGTAGTCGGTGTGTGGGTTCAGCTCTCACCAGGGCCACAGAGGGGTCCAGGTTGGTGATCTTCATGCGGCGTGGACTCCTCAGACAGTGGTAGCTCTGGTCGTCCAATCCACTGCCAGCCTCTGCCTCCACGGCTGACTGGGTGGTGTGGGGATCCAGGTAGATCAGCTCCTCTCCTGGAGGACACAGGAAGGCCTGCTGAACACAGTGGCTAGACAACTCACAGGTTTAGCTTATTTTTCTACTCCCTAACAGTTCCAGTTTCCTCTTAAACTCACCTACAAATCCGATGAAGTAATAGGCCAGATTGGGCTTTCCTCCCAGCACACCACAGGATTGTGGCATTTTAAAACACTCCTGAATGGGACAGCACGTGGAGTCAGTACAGTATAACTATTTAAAGGCAACAGTAAATACAGGACTATTACATAGTTTAATTGAATAAGAACAGAGACATTCCCAATCCCATCACAGAAAGCATTGATGGCCCAGTACCTTGAGGGCCTGGATGTAGACAGGGTTGATGTGGTTGATTCCCATGCGGAGCGGTATGACCAGCAGCAGGGGCCTCCAGTCAGAAAGGGACGGGGAATGTGGACACGTCGTGACTCTGTTCCCGTGCGTGTGAGAACAGGCTTGTTCTGGTGTTTCTCCAGAGGTGAAGGGTTCCTCCCGGCCACAGGGTCTCGGCCGCAATCTGCTCTCTCTGCTTGCCTGGCGACACTGCTTCTCTGGAGAGGACATGGAAAGAAAACCTTGGTGTCTTCGGCATCACAGCATCACCACTATCCTCCTATACAGAAGGCTCAGAAGGTAAGAGTTAAAAAATATACAGTACCAGTAACAAGTTTGGACACACCTACTCATTCAAGGGTTTTTCTTTATTTTTACTGTTTCCTACATTGTAGAATAATAGTGAAGACATCAAAACTATGAAATAACACATATGGAATCATGTAGTAACCAAAAAAGTGTTAAAAATATAAAAATACATTTTAGATTTTAGATTCTTCAAAGTAGTCACCCTTTGCCTTGATGACAGCTTTGCACACGCTTGGCATTCTCTCAACCAGCTTAACGAGGAATGCTTTTCCAACAGTCTTGAAGGTGTTCCCACATATGCTGAGCACTTGTTGGCTGATTTTCCTTCACTCTGCGGTCCAACTCATCCCAAACCATCTCAACTGGGTTGAGGTCGGGTGATTGTGGAGGCCAGGTCATCTGATGCAGCACTCCATCACTCTCCTTCTTGGTCAAATAGCCCTTACACAGCCTGGAGGTGTGTTTTGGGTCATTGTTCTATTGAAAAACAAATGATAGTCCCACTAAGCGCAAACCAGATGGGATGGCGTATCGCTGCAGAATGCTGTGGTAGCCATGCTGGTTAAGTGTGCCATTAATTTTAAATAAATCACTGACAGTGTCACCAGCAAAGCACCCTCACACCATCACACCTCCTCCTCCATGCTTCACGGTGGGAACCACACATGCGGAGATCATCCGTTTACCTACTCTGCATCTCACAAAGACACAGCAGTTGGAACCAAAAATCTCTCATTTGGACTCATCACCCCTACCTTGTCACAAGACAACTGATTGGCTCAAACGCATTAAGAAGGAAATAAATTCCACAAATTAACCTTTAACAAGGCACACCTGTTAATTGAAATGTATTCCAGGTGACTACCTCATGAAGCTGGTTGAGAGAATGCCAAGAGTGTGCAAAGCTGTCATCAAGGCAAAGGGTGGTTACTTTGAAGAATCTCAAATATAAAATATATTTTGATTTGAGTAACACTTTTGTGGTTACTACATGATTCCATATGTCTTTTTTCATAGTGTTGATGTCTTCACTATTATTCTACAATGTAGAAAACAGTAAAAATAAAGAAAAACCCTTGAATAAGTAGGTGTGTCCAAACTTTTGACTGGTACTGTATATACAGTGCCATTGGAAAGTATTCAGACCCTTTGACTCTCTCCACATTTTGTTACGTTACAGCCTTATTCTAAAGTTGATTTTTTTTTTATTCCCCTCATCAAGCTACACACAATACCCCATAATGACAAAGCAAAAACCGTTTTTTAGAAATGTTTGCTAATTTATAAAATATTAAAAACTGAAATATTACATTTACATAAGTATTCAGACCCTTTACTCAGTACTTTGTTGAAGCACCTTTGGCAGCGATTACAGCATCGAGTCTTCTTGGGTATGACGCTACAAGCTTGGCACACCTGTATTTGGGGAGTTACTCACATTCTTCTCTGCAGATCCTCTCAAGCTCTGTCAGGTTGGATGGGGAGCATCGCTGCACAGCTATTTTCAGGTCTCACCAGAGATGTTCAAATCGGGTTCATGTCCGGGCTCTGGCTGGGCCACTCAAGGACATTCAGAGACTTGTCCCGAAGCCACTCTTGCGTCATCTTGGCTGTGTGCTTAGGGTCGTTGTCCTGTTGGAAGGTGAACCTTCACCCCAGTCTGAGGTCCTGAGCGCTCTGGAGCAGGTTTTCATCAAGGATCTCTCTGTACTTTGCTCCATTCATCTTTCCCTCGATCCTGTCTGGTCTCCCAGTCCCTGCCGCTGAAAAACATCCCCACAGCATGATGCTGCCACAACCATGCTTCACCTTAGGGATGGTGCCAGGTTTCCTCCAGACGTGACGCTTGGCATTCAGGCCAAAGAGTTCAATCTTGGTTTCATCAGACCAGAGAATCTTGTTTCTCATGGTCTGAGAGTCTTTAGGTGCCTTTTGGCAAACTCCAAGCGGGCTGTCATGTGCCTTTTACTGAGGAGTGGCTTCCTTATGGCCACTCTACCATAAAGGCCTGATTGGTGGAGTGCTGCAGAGATGGTTGTCCTTCTGGAAGGTTCTCCCATTTCCACAGAGGAACTCCAGAGCTCTGTCAGAGTGACCATCATGTTCTTGGTCACATCCCTGACCAAGGCCCTTCTCCCCCGATTGCTCAGTTTGGCCAGGTGGCCAGCTCTTGGAAGAGTCTTGGTGGTTCCAAACTTATTCCATTTAAGAACGATGGAGGCCACTGTGTTTTTGGGGACCTTCAATGCTGCAGACATTTTTTGGTACCCTTCCCCAGATCTGTGCCTCGACAAAATCCTCTCGGAGCTCTACGGAAAATTCTGTTGACCTCATGGCTTGGTTTTTGCTCTGACATGCACTGTCAACTGTGGACTCCAATCAAGTTGTAGAAACATCTCAAGGATGATCCATGGAAACAGGATGCACCTGAGCTCAATTTCAGGTCTCATAGCAAAGGGGCTGAATACCTATGTAAAAAAGTAAAAAAATAAAATAATAATAATAATAATAATGATAAATTTGCAAACATTTCTAAAAACCTGTTTCGCTTTTTCATTATGGGGTAGTGTGTGTAGATTGTTGAGGATTTTTTAAAATCTATTTTAGAATAAGGCTGTAACGTTACAAAATGTGGAAAAAGTCAAGGGGTCTGAATACTTTCCGAAGGCACTGTATATTTAGCAAGTGAGGGAAAAAACGTACTGATGTCCTCGATCACAACGGTGTTGTCCATTGACACATACACAGCAAGAGAATTCCAGTCATCAAATAGCGCAAGTTTCCTGACGAGAGATAATAGGTTTATTTATGCCACAAACATATTTTTTCTAGAGGTCACTCTACTGACATTTTCAATCTGACAATCAAATATTCTGAAATGTATTAATCTCGGTTACCCAGAAGTACAATTCTCGAAAGTTGTTACTTCCCGTTTACACGTGAATCTGAATAAATCAGTCTTAAAACACGCATATAAAATACTTACTTGAGCACTTGTGCAACTGTGTTTGGGCCATACCACTCTCCTACAGACTTCCCTTCACCAACTCCCATCTGAGCTGCAAGTAGAAAAACCAATAAAGGAAAACCAAGTTCACTCCAATGGTCTAAGTCAGGGATGTGCAACTTTGATGGGGGTTGGGGCCACAAGAAATCTGAACTCATCATGGGGGGGCCGCAGTGGCTCGCGGGTCTGCGTACCCACATCCATACCCTCACCTTGCGAGCAAACATTTTAGCGGCCCTGCTCTTGACAGCGGAGAGAAAACATTTTTGAGTTAATTTCCTGCAATTCTACACATTTTGCCATGGGCCGTAGAGAAAATGTTGCAGTTTTACACCTTATTTCCTGCAATTCTACACATTTCACCATTGGTTGGGGAGAAACGTTTGCAGTTTTTATAATGATATCTGAATGAGAGTGACTAACAAAATCAATGGGGGCTCCCAGGCTAGTAATTCGACCATGATTACTACAAGTTTAGATAGCTGGCCCCTGGACTAATTTACCAATCTAACAAATGTTAGCTGACATGGTGGGCTAATTGAGTGACTGTTAGTGACTGACATAACAAAAGAAAAACTGATGATGCACAACAAAAATTTCGATATTGCACCTTGTGTATTCTACTATTCAAACAATATTTGTGTATTTTTTTGTTTGTTGGGAAATTGATCCGCGGGCCTACATCTCTGGTCTAAGTCTTAGCTTCTGTCTAGCCTGTCTAGCCGGTCATCTCTGGTCTAAGTCTTAGCTTCTTTCTAGCCTGTCTAGCCAGTCATCTCTGGTCTAAGTCTTAGCTTCTGTCTAGCCTGTCTAGCCGGTCATCTCTGGTCTAAGTCTTAGCTTCTGTCTAGCCTGTCTAGCCGGTCATCTCTGGTCTAAGTCTTAGCTTCTTTCTAGCCTGTCTAGCCGGTCATTGATTCATCAGGCTATTTGATGTTCCTTCAAGTTACACATTTTTACTTTGAGGACAGTCATCCAGAAATATATAGGAATGTGCTAGAAAACCCCATTCGATCTGCTAATTCAGGGTACTGTAAGTATGGTCAGGCCAAGGTAAAGGCAGGGTTAGGCTAGGACACTCTCTTACCCATTTGATGTATGGAGTAACAGCTGTCTTTCCTATCCAGGAAACAGTGGAGGATACGCTGGTACTCCTCCGGCTGTTCTCCCTCTGCCCTCCAACGCCAGGCTACAGCAGGAAAACAGGCCACAATCACTGTGTCATTCTCATACCCTGTCTGATTAAAAACCCTTTCTCTTTCTCACTGTTTAATTGACTACGTCGTAGAATACATATCATGACCAGATGAATCCTTCACATACAGTGCATTTGGAAAGTATTAAGACCCCTTGACTTTTTCCCACATTTTGTTACGTTACAGCCTTATTCTAAAATAGATTACATTGTTTTTTCCCTCACCAATCTACACACAATACCCCATAATGACATTTATAAATAAAATAAAAAACGGAAATATCACATTTACATAAGTATTCAGACCCTTTACTCAGTACTTTGTTGAAGCACCTTTGGCAGCGATTACAGCATCGAGTCTTCTTGGGTATGACGCTACAAGCTTGGCACACCTGTATTTGGGGAGTTTCTCCCATTCTTCTCTGCAGATCCTCTCAAGCTCTGTCAGGTTGGATGGGGAGCGTCGCTGCACAGCTCTTTTCAGGTCTCTCCAGAGATGTTAGATCGGGTTCAAGTCCGGGCTCTGGCTGGCCACTCAAGGACATTCAGAGACTTGTCCCGAAGCCACCCCTGCATTGTCTTGGCTGTGTGCTTAGGGTTGTTGTCCTGTTGGAATGTGAACCTTCGCCCCAGTCTGAGGTCCTGAGCGCTCTGGAGCAGGTTTTCATCAAGGATCTCTCTGTACTTTGCTCCATTCATCTTTCCCTCGATCCTGACTGGTCTCCCAGTCCCTGCCGCTGAAAAACATCCCCACAGCATGATGCTGCCACCACCATGCTTCACCGTAGCGATGGTGCCAGGTTTCTTCCAGATGTGACGCTTGGCCTTCAGGCCAAAGAGTTCAATCTTGGTTTCATCAGACCAGAGAATCTTGTTTCTCATGGTCTGAGAGTCCTTTAGGTGCCTTTTGGCAAACTCCAAGCGGGCTGTCATGTGCCTTTTACTGAGGAGTGACTTCCGTCTGGCCACTCTACCATAAAGGCCTGATTAGTGGAGTGCTGCAGAGATGGTTGTCCTTCTGGGAGGTTCTCCCATTTCCACAGAGGAACTCTGGAGCTCTGTCAGAGTGACCATTGGGTTCTTGGTCACCTCCCTGACCAAGGCCCTTCTCCCCCAATTGCTCAGTTTGGCCAGGTGGCCAGCTCTGGGAAGAGTCTTGGTGGTTCCAGACTTCTTCCGTTTAAGAATGATGGAGGACACTTTGTTCTTGGGGACGTTCAATGCTGCAGAAATGTTTTGGTGCCCTTCCCCAGATCTGTGCCTCGACACAATCCTGTCTCGGCGCTCTACGGACAATTCCTTCGACCTCATGGCTTGGTTTTTGCTCTGACATGCAGTGTCAACTGTGGGACCTTATATAGACAGGTGTGTGCCTTTCCAAATCATGTCTAATTAATTGAATTTACCACAGGTGGACTCCAATCAAGTTGTAGAAACATCTCAAGGATGATCAATGGAAACAGGATGTACCTGAGCTCAAATTCGAGTCTCATAGCAAAGGTTCTTCTTTTATTTTTAATACATTTGCAAACATTTCAAACAACCTGTTTTTCGCTTGTCATTATGCGGTATTGTGTGTAGATTGATGAGGGAAAAAAATAATTTAATCCATTTTAGAATAAGGCTGTAACCTAACAAAATGTGGAAAAAGTCAAGGGGTCTGAATACTTTCCAAATGCACTGTATAAACACCCCCTTTGCTAATGCAGTTCCATACATCCCCACCCCATACATGTTCATGACCCGTCCCCTCCTCACCTCGTCCCAGCTGTGAGCATACCAGGGCCTGTGCCAGGATCATCTGCCCACACCGTAGCATGCATCCCCAGCCTGCATCCGAAGAGGGGCCTGTTCCCCCTGGATCAAACCAAGATAGACACTTAAGATTAAGATTACTTTATTTGTCAATTGCACACAAGGTCCAACCGAAATTTGACTTCCGCTATTAACCCAACCCCCCCGAAAAAGAGACACGTACATATAGAGGTTTAGGAAAGGTGTTGGTGGCCACGCTTGGCGCCCGGGAAGCTGTTGTGGGGGGTTAAGTGCCTTACTCAAGGGCACAACGGCAGGTAATGGCATCTAGGATTTGATACCAGCAACCCTCCGGATGCTAGCTCACTTCCCGCCAGATTTTTCCCCTAGTTCCGGGATTTGAACTGGCAACCCTCCGGTTGCCGGCTTGCCTCTAACCGCTAGGCTACCTGCCACCCTTAAAGGGATACTTTGGGATTTTGGCAATGAGGCCCTTTATCTACTTCTCCAGAATCAGATGAACTCATGAATACCGGTTTTTATGTCTCTGTGTCCAGTATAAAGGAAGTTAGAGATAGTTTCGTGAGCCAATGCTAACTAGCGTTATCACAATGACTGGAAGTCTATGGATATCTGCTAGTATTAAAAAGCATGCTAGCAGATACCCATAGACTTTCAGTAATTGCGCTAATGCTGTTGGCAAGGTTAGGGATAGTCACACACACAGTGCTTTTAACAGTGTTTTCAACTTCCATATTTGACATACATCATTACATTGTGCATGTTCATTTATTCAATTATTATTATTCAACATGTCCTCACCTGGGATTTGAACTCACAACCTCTTGGTTCACGGTACTCCGATCTTTCTGCTACGCCACCATATGTCCATGTCAGGTATCAGTTAATCGGACTATTCTCATCATTGATTTTATTGACTTATTTCAGCAATTGAATGACAATCTGTATAGAGGTCTAATGTTGGTGGGGCATATTAACCTGTTTTAATGATACTCCTGAATCACTATGATCAATAAAATATTTTAATAATTACTGTATAAATGAACATACACAAAGTAATCACGTATGGCAACGTGTGTCAAATATGCAAGTTAAAAACACTATGTTAAAAGCACTGTGTGTGTGTGAGTATCCCTAACCTTGCCAACAGACAAAAAGAGCTGTGAATAGATCAGTGGTTCACCAATCAGGGCCTTGATGGGCTTGGCAACAGTAACAAGGCATGATGTGTATGAAACGTCTAGAACATTAATATCTTACATTCTGAGAAGATGCAACCATGTTCTGTGGGACGGTAATGGAATATTCTCCTAACCGTTAGAAAACTGGACACAGGAATATTCTTCCAACGTCCCATAAAACACATCTAGAACAGTAATGTTGCATATTCTGAGAACATTGTAACCACGTTCTAGATAAGTTCTGCTTGACATTAAGGGAAAGTTCTCCTAACTTTAACACCAAAACATTATAAAAAGGTTCTCAGAAGGTTTTTCCCAACATATAAATAAATGTTCCCCTAACTAACGGAAAACTGGACACTAAAACATTACGGGAACATTACAGATAACATTACAAAAACGTTCTCTCTCCGTAGAATTGTTAGCTGGGTAGCCAACAATCAGATTTTACATAACCTCTGCCTGTTTCACTCACCAATGGGAGAGAATTTTTTCCTGTAGGTAAACCATAACCGCGAGTGGACGTCTGATAGTAGCTCAGTCTTTTCTGTGAACACACAACAAGAAAGACTGTCATGCCTTCATTCAGTTTTTCCTCCACATATAAATCACAATATGACTGCTAGAAGATGCCAGCCTACCTGTTTTAGCATTGTAACACTCTCCTAAAACCCATACTGGTTCATCGGTGTCAGGCAAGTCTTCAAGGAACTCCGAAAACACGTTTATTTGGTTTTCATACTTGGCTAATACTGAAACGAGACATGGAAACGGGAAGACATGAAAAAAGACTTGTCAATAAACACACATGATGTGAGATACACCAGTTAATAAAGTTTTACACAATTATTTTTTAATATGCGTTGATAGTTAGCTGCAATTTGACATTATAATTTCGGTTTGCTGAAATTATTAGAAATGGGTTTGTTGTTTCCAAAACTATTTGTAAATGCCTGATCACACACACAATAGTGTACGTTGTACATAGCCAGAAGATCCGACCCGCTTGCTTACAGCTGCACTAGGGTCCGACAGGCTTCCTGTGTAGATTAAGACACTGCGGAGGCGGCGCGAAAAATGTCTCAGAAAACGTACCTCAATCCATGGATGAGAAATGAGTTGTATTCCGAATATTCGAAGTACAACGCATTTCTCATTCCTGGATTGAGGTACATTTTCCGAGACATATCTCGTGCAGGTGTCTTAATCTACACAAGAAGCCTGTCTGACCCTAGTGCATTTGTAAGCAAGCGGGTAGGATCTGGTGGCTAGGTTGTACTACTACAGTACAATACCGTATGTGACCAAATTACCTTTAACATCCTTACTCACTCTGGGAAAATACATCTCATCCCACTTCAGAAAAGCATGAAGTACTTTCCACTGATAATGCCCTGCTTTCAAAATGTGATGAAAGCCGCCGGGTAAACAAGTAAGCGAAACAGGCCACCAAAGAAACAATGGCTAAACTTGCACATCAGCCATGGCTTTTTACAGGGCCAAGTTTATAACGACCAACATCTTTAGACAATATGTTTTGGGCCCAATGGCAGCACGATTTGTCAATGCATGTAAGGGACTAAGTGAAAGGCACATAATAAGTGAATAAAGTATTATTTTTGAGTGGCTATTACCTGCCTCCATCCTCTGGTTGTCATCGGTGAAAATACCTATGTGAAGCTAGCCACAATAAGGATTAGCCCCAATAGTGGAATTTGCGGTTTGCCTTCAAAATAAAAGTCCATAATTGAAAGTGATGCAAATGGATACAAATACTAGAATCATGCCATATTTGGACTAGATCATGCTAAACAAGGTTGGAATGTTGTTATATAAAATCAACAAAATACAATAATTAGTTAATTTGACAAACAAAACTCAAAATCAGCCCAAATTGCACTCAGAATTGCATTGGGGACATACATATATTTCACTGTACAGTGGATCAATGAAATGTGGTATCAGTCTACTCAGTGACACCCACAGAACACAACTGTGAAGAGATTACACAAATATTAGCGTCGTAGCTCATATTGCGGGACTCTGAAACCATTGTGAAATGAGCCACATTAAGCTTACCAGTTAACCGACTATGTGTATTGGACATTCATATTTTAACAAAAGCACTGTATTGAGACCATGTTGCATACCTGATAAAGCAATGAGGCCTCTCTCCAATAGTCACGATCAAGATGAAGACAGTTGTCAACAATGATTACAGTTAATCCTGAATGAATCGTGAACAATGATGAGTGAGAAAGTTACAGAGGCTTAAATATCATACCACCCAAAAAATGGTAACATACCCTGTTATTGTAATGGTGAGATGTTAGCAGGTCTTGGGGACACAGGAGGCTGCTGAGGGGAGGACGGCTCATAATAATGGCTGGAACGGCGCAAATGGAATGGCATCAAACACCTGGAAACCATATGTTTGATGTATTGGATACCATTCCACCAATTCCGCTCCAGCCATTACCACAAGCCCATCCTCCCCAATTAAGGTGCCACCAATCTCCTGTGCTTGGCGGTATGATATTTGTGTGTCTGTAACTTTGTCACTCATCATTATTCACAATTCATTCAGTAATCATGGTAGCATCCACATTAATGTAGAAGTGTTTAGAAACATGTTATATTCTTATTTACAATAAAAGTGACTCCAAAATGACACAATACATGTATTTACCATTTATTTATATTGGGCACAAAATAATCTGAAACACAACAAAAACAAACAGCAAATGCATCGAACAAGTTTGTAGAGTCACACGCTTTATGTAATCATTGCGTGCTAGGAATATGGGACCAAAAACATTTTTTTTGACTACTTTAATACACGTATAAGTGAATTTGTCCCAATACTTTTGATCCCCTAAAATGGGGGGACTATGTACAAAAAGTGCTGTAATTTCTAAACAGTTCACCAGACCTCAAATTAAAGCTGACAGTCTGCACTTTAACCTCATAGTCATTGTATCATTTCAAATCCAAAGTGCTGGAGCACAGAGTCAAAATAACAACAACATTGTCACTGTCCCAATACTTTTGGAGCTCTCTGTAAGTATGCCCCCAATGCAATTCTGAAGTCTAATACACAGTGTGATTTCAACTGATTTGTAAATGTTTTGTTAAATTAACGAATTATTGTCTTTTGTTGAATTTATATAACAACATTCCAACTTTGTTTAGCATTACCTAGTCAAAATATGGCATGATTCTACTATTGATGAGGGACAATGAGGGATTTTTATTTTTAAACTGAACCGTTAATTCCACTGTGGCTAATCCTTATAGTGGCTAGCGTCACATAGGTGGTGAAAAGGCAGAATGCAAACAAACAGGATTACCTCTTGGGTAATGTAGTTCAAATGTGTTTGTCATCCATGACAAATAACGTTTGAAACCATTATAAACTACATCAACCAAAACATTTACGAAACCAAGTTGGTGTTTCCAGAAATCAAAACATTACATGGCACTCTGGTTTCTGTTTTTTCACCCATTGCTAAATAATAATTATAGGATAACTTGCCAGAGATATATCTTCCCCATGGATTTGTATATGCCAACCGCCATATAAAATCCACAGAAGAAGAAGAAGAAGAAGAAGAAGAGACTGCATGATCTACAAATCACCTTGCATCATAAATAACAACTCATTATTATTTGTAGATCAGTCAGTCACAATTTACCCATGATACATCACAGTTTTGATGCTTTCGTTCTTATTATACCTCAGTGTCTCGAACACGGCAACTAGCAGGCTGTCTGGCTCATGAAGCTACAGTATAATAAGAAGGTCTGGCTTCCACAAAACTAGCTACATTGTTGCCAGTGGCAGTAGCACAGACCGCTTCTAAACCTGTACTGTCTTTGGTAGTAGCCTACTGCTTTTGTACACGACACTGACCCCTAGTGACATTTAACAACACTGCCGCGTGCTATGGACATTCCGTTTGCATCTACGTGAACCGCGATAGAGGGCTAGTAAGCAAGCTAACTGTTTGCCTGATAAAAACAACATCCTCTTGATGCGTAATTGCCTTATTAATACATATAATGGTTTAGACGAATATAAGCTATAGTCATGAATCTTCGGGGATTCTTCCAAGATTTTAATCCCAGGTAACGTAAAGAGAAATATGACGTCTCTATGCCGGCTATGCTAACTAACGTTAGCTAGCCAGCATATCTGTGTTGGAAAGCGCCTAGCCAGATCCGTTAGTTAGTTAGTCAATGGCTGAATAGTAGTAGGCAGTCTATCTGAACCGGTGAATCACTATGACAGAACGAACGAGCTAACGTTAACTAAACGTCGTTAGCTAGCAGCTTCGGTAACTGGTAAGGTCAGCTAACTAGCTATTATATTGGGGAAGAACAGTGTTAGCTAGCCAGTTAACGTTAGCTATGTTAGCAACTGTTGTTAGCTAGTTATCCAGCCCTGTTGTGTTGCTGTCAGTCGTTCAATATTAGTTAGTTAGTTATTGCATGCCAGCTAGCTAGATAACTAACCAACTGAATGGCCAAAATGGCTAACACCACTTAGTTCAGTTTCCTTAATCTGGAATCGCATTGGGGTGCACATTTTTGTACCAGCTCTGCACTAACATGATCTGATGAGTAGCAAGCTGAATAGAGTAATGGGGATCATTGTTTTTCTCCTTCCTTCTCAGTAAGTTTCTCATCTATGCCTGCCTGCTGCTGTTTTCGGTGCTGCTGTCCCTGCGTCTGGATGGCATCATCCAATGGAGTTATTGGGCTGTGTTTGCCCCCATGTGGCTATGGAAGCTCATGGTCATCATCGGTGCTTCAGTGGGCACAGGCGTCTGGTCCCACAACCCACAGTACAGGTGTGTTTTTTTAAACAAAAATGCTTTACTCTTTCTCTGGTATTATTTTTTTTTTTGTCAATGTGGCTGTCTTATCAATATAAAATTGTCCTAATGAGAAAGCTGTCTGGTTGCCATATCTATCACTGCTGACTAGTATGACTTATATTACTGTGCCTGTCATGCTGGTTATGCAGGGCTGAGGGGGAAACCTGTGTGGAGTTCAAGGCCATGCTGATTGCTGTTGGGATCCACCTGCTCCTGCTCACCTTTGAGGTGCTGGTGTGTGACCGTGTGGAGAGGGGCACTCACTTCTGGCTGCTGGTCTTCATGCCCCTCTTCTTCGTCTCGCCTGTCTCTGTTGCAGCCTGTGTGTGGGGCTTCCGGCATGATCGCTCTCTAGAGGTCAGTCTGGCATTATATCAGTCACAAGGATGTTATTTTTCTCAAATAGCCTATTTAGGCTAGATATTGGTGAATATAGTATACCTGTCTACCTCCCTCGTTTTCTCTGTTCTTCCTATCTCTCCTTGTATCAGTTGGAGATCTTGTGCTCAGTCAATATTCTTCAGTTTATCTTCATTGCCCTGCGACTGGATAAAATCATCAGTTGGCCCTGGCTGGTAAGAGAACAACCTGCCTAATATCTAGGTCTGGGGAATAAAAACTCATGGGAATTTAGTACAATTTACAGCGAGTTGGAAAATATGCGTTGATGTTCTTTTTATTTATTTTTGAATGTTATTTTGTTCAGGTTGTCTGTGTGCCACTGTGGAGATTAATACAATTTACAGTGAGTTGGAAAATATCATTGATATTCTTTTTATACATTTTTGGAATGTTATTTTGTTCAGGTTGTCTGTGTGCCACTGTGGATCGTCATGTCCTTCCTGTGCCTTGTAGTGCTCTACTACATTGTGTGGTCAGTACTCTTTCTGCGCTCTATGGACCTCATCGCAGAGCAACGGCGCACTCACATCACCATGGCAATCAGCTGGATGACAATCGTTGTACCCTTGCTCACTTTTGAGGTATGTGGTCATGTCATCCATCCTTCAGTTACTATTGTGGCCAGAGAGCTGAAGAAGGTCAGATGTTAAGAACGTTTTTTAAAATTTATTTTTTTAACCCCGTTTGCCTTGTTTTTATTGTTGTCTCTGTCATTGGCTCTTCAGATCCTGTTGGTCCATAAATTGGATGGCCACTACGGCTCCAGCTATGTGTCAGTATTCGTGCCTCTCTGGCTATCCCTGGTGACACTGATGGCCACGACCTTCGGCCAGAAAGGAGGCAACCACTGTGAGTTACTCCTCGACAGTGATAGCAGTGCAGCAGAAATAATTGTCATATTATATGTCATATTGAGGCAGTGTTCTTTTTATTTATCTGAGAATGCAGTCAGTGTAACTCCTCAAATATTGCTCCAAACTATTTTTTAAAACTGGTATTTATCTTTTCTAACAGGGTGGTTTGGCATCCGAAAAGACTTCTGCCAGTTTCTTCTTGAGCTCTTTCCCTTCCTGCGGGAGTATGGGAACGTTTCCTACAACCTGCACCACGAGGACGCTGAGGTGTCCGTGGAGATGCCTGCACACGATCCGCCAAAAATAGCCCCCATGTTCCGCAAAAAGACTGGTGTGGTGATCACACAGAGCCCAGGGAAGTACTTTGTGCCTCCTCCAAAACTGTGCATTGACATGCCTGACTAAATGTAAAGCTTTGCAACAACTGCTCTAGAGCTTTGATGGACTTCACATGCACCAGAGAGCTGTGGTGCACTGACCACCAATTTTAAGAAGCGGCAGAAGAGCATAGTTTCCATGTGGCTCACTCCTAGTGAGCGGTGGGACCGGAATTCAGACATGAGTTTTTAGCGATAACTAAAAACCATGGCAGAGTTTGTGGAACAAAAGGAACGGTAACACTTTATTTGGATACTCCATCTGTAGATGCTCTACAGACTATCGGTAACATTTCAACTAACTATCTACTAACCCTAACCTTAACCCTAAACCCTTATTCTAAACCTAACCCTAACCTTAACAAGCAGTTGCTTATCAACAGATAGTTTGTTAATAGTAGGGATTAACTGTCCCAGGAACATACTTCACATTTCCCGAAAAAATATAATGACAAGACCCGGGAAATAACCAAAAATTCCCCAATGTTGCACTAATGCAATTCCACAAAATACACAACATGTGCAGCAGCAGATTAACAAAAAATGTAATAGCACATTACCCAAACAGGTTGTTGCATGGAAGCCTTTAGCCAAGCATATTTACTAAACACAAAGTAGCCATAAATTCAAAGCACATGCATAATTGACACTGCAGGACTGCACACAAGACCCATGAGGGAGAATTAAATCTTCTCTTAGAGCCTAGGCTATTTTTCTATCCAGTCCCAATCCCACTGAAACTCAAAATCCTGACCTTATTCTGGAATAATAATACAAAATAAAAAAAACATTTTTAGCCATTTAGCAGGCGCTCTTATCCAGAGCGACTTACAGTTAGTGAGTGCATACATGTTTTATACTGGTCCCCCGTGGGAATCGAACCCACAACTCTGGCGTTGCAAGCGCCATGCTCTACCAACTGAGCTACAGGAGGCCTGTACTTAGGTTGCATTATCAAAGAACTTCTCTCGCCTATGCATGTCAAAATAACGCTGTAATATTTCCCCCATTTCTCTGCGCGGTCTCGTCCTTGCTGCCCATATAGAATGTGGTAGAGAATGTGTGATCAACAAACGGCATGAGAGTAGATATTAATATATATTTTTTAACAGAGTTGGTCCCCGTTAAGATACCTTGATATGTTAAATTATTTCCACTCTTCATCTCCCCGTTATTCATGAGCTGATGTGCTCGCTGTATAATCATCAACTCGATTTTGCCAAACAGGATGTATTCTGTCATTCGTTGGAGGTTATCTAGCAAGTTTAGCGGCTTTGGTTTGACTGCGGTTACAAATGTTGTGTGATTCGACAACGCTAAACTCGGTGTGCGCTCTGGGTCGAGATAGCCTACTTCTGAAATGCGCTGAATTAATTGAGGAACATGATAACGCTCGGAATTTATGAACGGCCTGTTTCGCAATTCAATGTCCATCAAAGATAGTTACTCTATCATTACTAAATTTGCTCTGAAATCTTTACATAGTGACGCCGACAAGGTGGCACAGGAACCATGTCATGGTTTAAAATCCTTTAAATGGACACTTCCGATTTGTGCGGTATTCCCTGGGACTCTCGGGATAAATATGAATTATTCTCGGTATTTAAATTTGGTAGATTTTCGGGAAAATATGAATCCCTAGTTGATAGTATTACCATCTGTAGAGCATCTATCCAAATAAAGTGTGACCAAAGGCACTCTTATATCATCGTGAGTTTTTCTATTTTTTTGAGAGTGGAAAGAGACGGAAGTTCCTTTTCATTTATGTGGTATGATATACTGTACAGTACTTTCTATTTCCCTTGTGATGTTTTGGCCAACAAAATATCTCCAAAGAGATTTTAATATTCAGATGTCTTTCACATGATTCCAGTTGAAGATGCATTATGTGCGTGTCAGAAGTTGTGCTAGTAAATTTCCCAAACCCTGAATCTTTGCATCAAAGCTCAATTACTTTGTTTGGATGGATGATACTGTACCAAGATCATGCTTATTAGGCTAACTGTTTTAAATCTAAGGTTAGCTTACTACTTGGTGATATTTGCTTTTGTTTTATTAAATAATTTAACACTTTGTGAGTAACATTTGTTGTAATATAGTAGTGTATGATATAGGATTATATCCTAGTTTTCCGTTCTTGAGGTCTTGTCCTGTGTGTTTAAGTGACTCAACAACCTTGTCCCTCTAGCGACTCTTTTTATATGGCAGGATGACGTCATTGTTTCTCCTAGTAGTTGACCTTCGCTGTTACCATTCAGGGTGCACAACTTCACCTCGAGAGGTTCCTACTAGTGTGTGCTGGTTTTTAGTTCAACCTGAGTATTCTGGGTAGACCACCAGCCTGCCTCTTCTACCTTGCCAGGTCTGCATTGGGTGATGAGTAAAGGAGAAACCTGCAGTGCTGCTTCTATATCATTATACCTGTGTAAAATGCTTCCTTGGTGAAATTCCCACCTTCACAAAAAATATTCTCCCCCACCATTCCCCTTTGAACTTCTAACTTATCCCATTGTGTTTGTTTTGTCTATGTTCTGTGACCACTCTCTGCTGGCCTGAGAGATAAGCATTACTCATTTGAAAACACATTTTTGACTGGGGACGGACCAATGGTATACTTTCCCCTCTATTGTACCTTGTTTCTTACCTTCCACCATACACATTCTGTTGCAATATAGCTATTTTTTCTTCTGGCAAGCACTTTAATACAAATGTTAAATGTATACTTGCTCCAAGTGGCTGATAACTAACCAATAACAAACAATAAAGTGATTTAAAATTGTATCTGGTAATCATTTTCTTGTCTTGTCAAATGCATGAACCTTTATTTCAAATTGAAATAATACTGTTTGGAAATAATAGTTTTCTGTTTGAACATTATATACTTGATTGCTGATTGGTTGCAATTTACAGCGAAAGGGATACTTCGCGATTTTGGCAATGAGGCTCTTTATCTACTTCCCCAGAGTCCAATGAACTCGTGAATTCCATTTTTATGTATCTGTGTCCAGTATGAAGGAAGTTAGTTTCGCGAGCCAATGCTAACTAGCGTTAGCGCAATGACTGGAAGTCTATGGGTATCTACTAGAATGCTAGCTATTATGGAATGAATGGTTTCCTTGGACTTGTCAGTCACTAGATGGCACTATGCTCCCATTGAAAAAATAATTGGAACTCTCATTACCTTCTTGAGACGTTTTTGTTGAATTTAAACAGGAAGTGTCTACGGGAAATAGTTAAAGTCTTGTAGCTCAAGATTACGTTAACGGTGCCTCGAGGATTTGCAGATCAATTGCGTTTGTTATACCTAGGTCTCTAGAAATACAAGTCAACCATTGTTACTTATAATTACAGTCGGATACATGTAGCCAGCCAGCCAGAGATTAGTGCGATACAAGCGCAAAGGGGTCGATTGACTGCGTGATTATGATGAGTGCAACAGCCATTTGTACTTATTAGCACAATATTTTACGAGTGGTTTAGAGTGATAAAATACCGAGCACCTGGTTCTAACATATTCACGTTGAGTGAAGATGACATTACAAGTGGGTTGCCTATCATTCAGGCAGCCGTACGCGGGATTTGTACTGGATGGTGTAAAAAGTATTGAGACACGTTGGCGCCCCCTGTTGTCCGCAATGGAAAACTGCACTCTAGCTATCCATATTGCGCAGAAGGACTGGGAAGGCGACCAGTGGAGAGACATGCTCACCAATACACTGGGAATGAGCCAAATGCAAATGGAGGAGCTTCTGGCTTCAGGAGACAGATTCGGCCGTGGAGTCGTGGCAGGTAAAACAGTACTTTTGAATTACTTAGCCAGTGGGGAGGGAGGACATAAACACAGCACATCTCATGCTTGATTTAAACTAGATTTGATGAATCTCCAACCCCCTGTCATTTCCTTGTTTCAGGCTTGGTGGAGGTGGGGGAGACTTGGTGCTGCTCTGACAGTGTGCCAGAGGAGAATCTGAGGGAGCTGGAGAAGGCAGCAGTGCTCACTGGGCTCACAGAGAAACACCTCACACAGCTGTCAAACCCACGCTGGCTCAAGGAACCCCTTTATGCCAGAGGGCACAAAGACATTTGGACAGTGGACATCCCAGTACAATTACTGCCATCTGCGTAGAGTTGTTGTAAAATAATGTATACTCATTTTGTACTGACAGGATCATTGTTCAAATTAGGGACGTTTCTAGAGATGACACACAAGCTTTAAGGTGCAATAAATTACCAATGGACTGAAGCATTGTGAATGTGATTGTATATACTGCATGTCTAAAACTCTTATATTGACACCATAACTTTGTTGCAATATGCATTTATTATTAATTTAAACCTGTCTGCTGGGAGAATGGGCCCTATCGGAATTTTTGAAGCTCTGGGAGGTGAAGCTCTGGGGGCAGTGAGGGGGTAAAAGAGGGCAGGGGTGTCATTCCTGCCATCACTAATTGTAGACCGAAGGTGGTCATGTGGGTCTGGATCTGGGCTAGACAAGCTTCTTGGGAATCCCTAGACATCTTTTGAGGACAGAGATCAGCTTGGGTAGTAAGCCAGTGCTGTGGCTGCTGGGGCTTCTGCTTTCTTCACTCCTCTCAGCCTCCTGGGCTGGAGTGCAGACGTCTGGGGCCAATGACATGGCTGAAATGCTTAGGAGTGGAGCTCTGCAGTTCAACCTAGTTGGAGTCGGGTTGCCTGTGTCGGCCAATCTTGGGCTATGCTGTTGGCCAGCGCTGTTCTTATTGCTGTGACCCAACTTCTCCCTCCCTATGCCAAGTCTCGTGCCTTTGAGCTGCACACATCTCTTCATTTGGGGCAGGAGATGTTTGAATCCTTGGCGGAAATTGGGATTGGAGTAGTATTGCAACTGCAGTATAAAAAACCAGTGTCATTCAATTAAGTCACACGTCAAAATATAGGCCTCGGAAACTAACACAACACCATTTGATATTCATAACGAACTTGCCTTTGACGTGCATGCATTGTCTTCCTCAGCAATAAAGGTGCTTAGTGAAGCGGATCTCTCGATACCAGGGAAAGCTCTTTTAAAACCGTAGACGTTGAGTTGGCGCACAAAACTCTTCAAGCCAGTCGTTTGAAAGATTTTGTGTGGTTCAAAGCGTTTCAGCACCTCCGACGTGAACAGCTCCTCGTCTATCACTATGTACATTCCGGTCTGGTCCCATTTGATAGATTCTATAATATCGCTCTCTACGATGGTCTACAGTCTTTTGGGGAATGAAATGTAGTACAAGTTGGCATCCACCGGTGCATTTTGAGTCTGAGCAGTGTCTTTCTGTGGTTTCTTGGAAATGGTTTTCTGAGCCAGAATCTGGAATGCGCTCTCTTCCAAGAGAGCTCTCAACTTTTTGTCCTCGACTCCAGAGTCCCATACCAATACAGGGAGAGAGCGGAGGACGCGGTCTTTCAGCATGTTTCCTTTTCGTGAAAACTTTGGTAACCGAAATGTCACACATACTTTTTTATTGTATTTTTTATATGCAACGCAGACGTCAAGCACTGTATGCGGGCTTTCAGGAGCAAAATGACTAGCCAAGCGTTAGAATTGTCGTTCTAATGACAAGATGCAAATTATATTTTATATTGTTATAGTCACAGTTCAGATTGTTACATTCCAAGTGGAATGGAACAAACATTCTGTCTTTTTTTTTTTTTTAAGATAAGCACACGAGAATGATTAATTTATTTCACTATATTCTAAGAAACATAATGTCAAAAACATATCATGAAGGGATAAGTAGGAAGAGGAGACAATGATGAGACATGAACATTCTGTGGGTGACTTAAGTGTGTGGTAGTTTTCAATTATGCCATATGCCCATTTTTTCATTATTAAATTTACCACCAACACAATGTGTAGCCTATATAGGCCTACATTTGGGCAAATTATGTTAATAAAACACATTTGTAAGCCTATACAGTATTCGATTACTGAAGGAATGATGTTGCATATTGATGTAGGTAACATAAACGTTTGGGTTTGGTAAGAAGCTTTGCGTGTTGGTCCAATTGAAGTTGGGATGTCATGAATATATATTCTGTGCTCTTCAAGGTGCTAACCAATACATACTAGTGGAGGTTCTTTCAAATATGTGAAACGACTATCCAATCAGACCGGTCTCGTAGTCAGCTAGCGCGAGGCTGTGTAGGCTACTCAGCTGTTAAAGTGAACGACGTGGGATCGTGTGACTGACTGCGCTCAAACAAACACAGGTAGGCAGACTACAGGGCCTATTGAAAATAATTGTTTGGAATATATTGGCAGCCTATAAAGAAATGTATCTTTGTATTTTGGCATAATGTTTCTCATTCTTAACAATGTGTTCATATTTTCTATTCATAAACAGTTTAATTAATTAGTGGCCTAATTTTATATATATATATATATATATATAAAAGCTAATCTGGTTCTTTGGGTAGGTTATCTAAACGTAATTTTTCTATATTGAAAAGCGTTTGAATTTGTTCATTCAACATGGTGATTTTTTTTTTGTTGACTGTTCTTTATCGAGGATATAAGTGCATTAAAATGGCTGGCCATTGAGAGAATACAATCAGCCATCAAATGTTATTTAAAGACTGACAATCTAATGAAACGACACCAATTTGTTTTAATATCAGATGCATTTTCGTTCCCTCGATGTCGAAAATATTATTTTGTTTCTTTAGCGTTTCCTTCTGGTTTGAGTTTGCTGTGTTTGACTCGGTGCTGCCAACGCTATACCAGTCATGGCTGGCTTGTACAGCCTTTGTTACTGACAGCTCCGCTGTGCGCCAGGCAGTGCTTGGAGAACTTTGACAAACTGATGTAATGTTCGCATTTGGAAATTAAACGTATAGACCTATAGAAATCAAAATAAGCCTTTTCAGTTGATCAAACGATTGAGATCAGAACGTATGTAATGCGTTGACATTGTTCCCGTGCCATTTGTAATCCGTGGCTTTGTTACTAAGCCTTTCCCTAGCAGGGAAGCCGAAGCCATTTTAATCAATGAACTCCTATAGGAGATCTACCCTTCATTCGGCACCAAATACAGTCCCCATACAAACGCCTTTAGAATTGTTAAAATATAGTTAATGGGTCTATTTGTAAAGGAGAAAAATACCAAACACGAAATGTTGTTAAAATTAAAGGACAGTTTCTGTCATGAGAATTTATTGTACAAAATGGAAGATGAATCATTCCTGCTGAGGAATTCTCTTCTATCCGCATGTAGGCCTATATTGAGTTGCATCACCAACACACGCACTAAAAAATATTTATTCAAATCACCTCATCTCGGGTGTGCGGTTTGGCGGTGGATGACATGAGTAGCCTAAATATCTCTTCAATTAACTGGCACATCATTTTCCACTTTGAATTTAAAGTAGAATTCAATTTTTTTTTTTATCCAGGCAGCATTGCTAACAAAACATCTTTTTTTAACCTACTTTTTAAACCACTGTATGGGTCAGAATGGGCTTACCAACAAAATACGATTAAACAAATAATTAACTGTACAATAGCTTGATGAGAAAATATTTCAAGGTGCATTCCATGACATCTTCATACATACCACTATACTTATATTATGGGAATAGCTGGACATCTTGTCTTGAAATACCTAAATATAAACTGGCATAACATTTGCCCATCATAGAAGGATCATTGTGATGGCTCAATAGTACCTGTGCATTTGGGGTCCAGACTCCAGAGAGCATTTCATTGAGCTTTAATGTCTGTCTTGTAGGAGCTGGTGGAAGATAGATATTCTGGTGGTGCAAGAGAACATCCACCACTTTTCAGGATGGCCAAAGGTGACGCTCGTAAGCCGAAGGGCAAGATGTCTGCCTATGCCTACTTCGTTCAAACCTGCCGAGAAGAACACAAAAATAAGAATCCAGAGATCCCAGTGAACTTTTCAGAGTTTTCCAAGAAGTGCTCCGGAAGATGGAAGGTAGAGGAGCAACATGAAAAGTTTAAGTATTTCAGCGTGAAACGATTTTGTCATGATCATTATTTTCAACATAATGGCACTAGGCTAGCATGGTGCAGTCCTATCCATCCATACACCAACTTAACATTTTACTTGCCACTCTTGTTGTTGTTGTTTTTTCAGACAATGTCTCCAAAGGAGAAGTCAAAGTTTGAGGACCAGGCCAAGCAGGACAAAGCTCGCTATGATTCGGAAATGATGAGCTATGGTCCTCCTGGGAAGAGGGGCAAGAAGGCAAAGAAGGATGCTAATGCTCCAAAGAGACCTCCGTATGTCTATTCCTAAACACTGTCATCAACTATAGTAGTTAAATTAACATCATTATATCTTGCACTGTTTCACTTGGCTGTCTTCAGATTGATTTTAATTAGTTGTGCTTTTGAAGCAATTTGTATTTCAAGTGAAATTGGTTTATGCTGCTTATTGTAGACAGTTCACAACGATGTATGATTCATTTTCAAGGCCTGCAACAAACAGGAATGACTACATCTCTTCTCTTACAGATCGGGATTCTTTGTTTTCTGTGCTGAGCAGCGCCCCAAGATCAAAGCCCAACACCCAAGCTTTGGCATTGGGGATGTGGCCAAGAAGCTTGGAGAGATGTGGAACAACTTGACAGACTCCAATAAGCAGCCGTATCTTGTCAAAGCCAACAAACTCAAGGAAAAATACCAAAAGGTAACGCCATTGAGGACTCTGTATTTGTCTCAAAGGAAATGTACAATTTGATTTGTACCACTAAGTGGTCTGACTGTGCTGTCAGACCCTATATGCAAGGAATCACTAGATAAATATTGCAAAACCTGTGGATTTCGAGGGGTAGGAAATAACTTGTTTTTAAGACACTTTTGCTTACGGTTTCTAGGATGTGGCAGATTACAAAGGAGGAAAAGTGGGTGGGGCAGGAGCCTCTAAATCAAAGAAGGCTGAAGATGATGATGATGACGACGAGGATGATGAGGAAGAGGACGAAGATGATGATGATGATGATGATGAATAATCATCTTTGACAAATAGAAAATGGTATTGTGATTGGTTAAGACACTGGCTGGTGAGCAAACCCATCTGTAGGGTTCAACTGTCCTAGAACAAAACATCCAATTGGTTTTGAAACTATTTTCTCCCTGTAGTTACTTTCTGTTTGTCATTTGGGTCTTTAACACCGTGCTGTCAGTGTTCTCTTGATCTCTTTGTTTTTGTCAGTTGAACAAACATATTTAAAGCGATAGCATAAGAGTTCACACCCTTTAACTCCTAAAAGATGTGTAAGGTGCCGTGTGTGTTACCATAAGGGTGTTGAAATAGATTTTATTTAATTTTTCTGTTTTACTGGGTTGTGAATTTCATGGAATTGTAAGTTTGCGTTTGAGGGACTTGAACCAGTGTTTCATATGTGTATCTAGAGACACAATCCATAGACTTTAGGCAGATGTCCAGTCCAACAACCAGGTATTTACCATTGCCTATTATGCCAACCAACTGTGTTTGAAGCAGGGCTGATCCATTTCACTGTGTTATGGCTGAAAGGAATGATGATTAAATATATTTTTGTTGTTGTTGGGGGAATGACTTTTTTTTTTTTTAGATGTGAGGATGTCTCCCTTTTGACCAATGGTGACACTACATCTGTTGGACAAGGTTGGTTTCTTTGCACCTGCAATTTGTTTTGAATGTTTAGGATGCCGCTGATTTAAAATAAAAATTTAAATTTTTATGTTCTGTGTGGATCGAAATTGATTTCTTCCCTGCATTGAAATTACCACAATTGCGCAATGTATTTTTTTTAAATTGGGCCTTTTTCTTTAGCTGTAAATGTATTAAAGTTTATGCAACATTGTAGTATTTTGATATGAGTGTTTTTGATATGACACTACTGTTGTGAGAAGTGTGGATCTTCAGTAGTGACTAAGAAATTCTAACACTTAATAGGAGGAACATTTGAGTCATGAGACCATATAAACTGCAATCCATCTCTCCCCACATGTATCAGAGAACCACTCAGCTGTGTGTAGTTGGACACATGTTGCTCTTTTTCAGGTTATTTATTATCCAACAAAAGGTTGCATGAAAAGTCATATCTGTCAACATCAGTGAGCATGCATCTCTGACTCTCGGGGACCAAATGGGCGTGGAGGAGAAATGTACAGTTGAAGTCGGAAGTTTACATACACCTTAGCCAAATACATTTAAACTGAGTTTTTCACAATTCCTGACATTTAATCCTAGAAAAAATTCCCTGTCTTAGGTCAGTTAGGATCACCACTTTATTTTAAGAATGTGAAATGTCAGAATAATAGTATAATTATTTATTTCAGCTTTTATTTCTTTAATCACATTCCCAGTGGGTCAGAAGTTTACATACACTCAATTAGTATTTGGTAGCATTGCCTTTAAATTGTTTAACTTGGGTCAAATGTTTCGGGTAGCCTTCCACAACAAGTTGGGTGAATTTTGGCCCATTCCTCCTGACAGAGCTGGTGTAACTACATTTTAGTCATTTAGCAGATGCTGTTATCCAGAGCAACTTACAGTTAGTGCATACATTATTTTAAAAGCTTTCCCCTTTTTCCTCCAAACATAACGATGGTCATTATGGCCAAACAGTTCTATTTTTGTTTCATCAGACTAGAGGACATTTCTCCAAAAAGTACAATCTTTGTCCCCATGTGCAGTTGCAAACCGTAGTCTGGATTTTTTATGGCGGTTTTGGAGCAGTGGCTTCTTCCTTGCTGAGCAGCCTTTCATGTTATGTCGATATAGAACTCGTTTTACTGTGGATATAGAGACTTTTGTACCTGTTTCCTCCAGCATCTTCACAAGGTCCTTTGCTGTTGTTCTGGGATTGATTTGCACTTTTCGCACCAAAGTACAATCATCTCTAGGAGACAGAACGCGTCTCCTTCCTGAGCGGTATGACGGCTGCGTGGTCCCATGGTGTTTATACTTGCATACTATTGTTTGTACAGATGAACGTGGTACCTTCAGGCGTTTGGAAATTGCTCCCAAGGATGAACCAGACTTGTGTAGGTCTACAATTTCTTTTCTGAGGTCTTGGCTGATTTCTTTTGATTTTCCCATGATGTCAAGCAAAGAGGCACTGAGTTTGAAGGTAGGCCTTGAAATACATCCATAGGTACACCTCCAATTGACTCAAATGATGACAATTAGCCTATCGGAAGCTTCTAAAGCACAGTCGACTTAGTGTATGTAAACTTCTAACCCACTGCAATTGTGATACAGTGAATTATAAGTGAAATAATCTGTCTGTAAACAATTGTTGGAAAAATTACTTGTGTCATGTCCTAACCGACTTGCCAAAACTATAGTTTGTTAACAATACATTTTTGGAGTAGTTGCAAAATGAATTTTAATGACTCCAACCTAAGTGTATGTAAACTTCTGACTTCAACTGTACATCCTTGACTGACGTAATCATAAACCTCACTGCTGGGGCAGCAGGCATGTAATAACTACATCTTTCAATGACCTAACATCAAACTTTTCCATAGATTTAACCCTTGATGACTCTCCTGACTTACAACACAAGGTTAAATGAAAACATCTAGTGAATGATGCTGCTGGACAGGACGGCTATCAAAATGTCAACTTTTAACCATGAATATGGAAAAGGTTGAAGTCGCTGTGTGGTCCTTCATGGTGACCCTGGAAATCTCTCTTACGGCCAAGATCATTTTGGATTGCCACCAGGATTGCCCGGTCTAGCTAAAATTTCTAGCCCAATGACCTCTTAAAACCTGCCCACAAGGCCTGAAAATGAGCTCCAAAAAAATGTTCGCAGCAAGAGAGGAGTTGACACATTTTTCCAATAAACCCTTTTTCCATAACGTTATCGAGCGAATTCAGAAGGAATATCGACGTCATTTTTAACAATGTAGGCTAAGAAGCAAAATTTGGTTTTCCATCAAAATAACAATTATTGTGAGTTTAAGAATATGTCGCAAAAGAAAATATAAAAGCTCCCTTATTAAACTCCAGATCCTTTTCCATCGATGGATGTCGATTTAACTTATTTTGACTGGTATGATTAAGCAATAAGGCCTGAGGAGGTGTGGTATATGGCCAATATACCACAAAGAACAGCCCTTAGCCGTGGTATATTGGCCATATACCACAACCCCCCGAGGTGCCTTATTGCTATTATAAACTGGTTACCAACGTAATTAGAACAGTAAAAAGCACGTTTTTGTCATACCCTTTGTACACGTCTGATATACCATGGCTTTCAACCAATAAGCATCCAGGGATCAAAACCGGTGTTTCAAGCCCTGAATGCTGATTGGCTGACAGCCATGGTATATCAGACCGCATACCACGGGTATGACAAAACATTTATTTCTACTGCTCTAATTAAGTTGGTAACCAGTTTATAATAGCAATAAGGCACCTCTGGGGTTTGTGGTATATGGCCAATATACCACAGCTAAGGGCTGTATCCAGGCACTCCACATTGCGTCGTGCATAAGAACAGCCCTTAACCATGGTATATTGACCATATACCACACCCCCTCGGGCCTTATTGCTTAAATAAATCCTGTTTGCGCATGTGCATAACTATAGATACATCTGACAGGAGAGTTCTAAGTGATGAAAGTTGGACAGAGGATCTCAATCTCTGTGCAAGAAACACTTGGACGAACTTCAAAAAACTAATTTTAGGCTATTTATGTGCCAGATGTTAAGACTACAAACCGTTATAAATGACCTGTTTGTGAGATTGACTTGTTATTTCAATAGACATAAGCTACTGACTAAAATCTGGGTTTATAATTGCAATTCAACTTTGAAATGGTTTGCTGAGCTGGATGCAGGTAGCCTATAGCCCCTGATAGACCAACATCTAATTTCAGGGAAAAGTCCACAATGAAACTGACATTAAATGTGGAGAATGATACATTTGCGATAGAGCTGTGACCATGATCACAACTGATAACTTCCAATTTAATTAACAAAACACGTCCATTAATAATTGCATAATAACACAAGGCTAAAAACACAAACTGAGTTATAGACTATTTAATAAATCCGTTTGCCAGCTCCAGGTAAGGCTACACAAGTGGCACAAATTGATTTGCAATGACTCCAGTGATATCGTCATTTCAACGTACTGTAGCCTAGAATGGCATATAATTAATAGCCTATGTAGTGTATTAAGATTATGTCTTTGTTAAATGTTTTTCATGAAGAAATGGAATGTTGTTTATGTTAGTATCAAGAGGGAATGTTTTAGGTGTAACGCCACATACAACAGACAGGAAGTGTGTTGTAGACAGGGGAGACTGGTGATTGGCCAGAAGAGGGGGCATCATTGTTTATAAATAGGGGGGAAAACGAAGGAGAGGGCAGAACGAGCAGCCATTCTGAGGCGTCACTCTCCGGGTGTCATGTCACCTGTCACTCATGCTGAAGCTTGTGATCTGAATAAACCTTATGATCAACGTTCAGTATGAGCAGACTCCTTTTGTTCATCAGCAATAATTGCCACCACTCACTCGATACGACACCTACTTGATGGCCAACAGATGCAAATGTAGCCTATCATTCTCCACTTTTAATGTACTTTTCATTCTGGACTTTTTCCCCATAGCACAAGCACGCGAGGGAGTTCCATAACTTCCATTTCAAATGTCCACTCGTGCAGCGCTCCAGACCATAGAACCGAGCATGAGTAAAACCCTTCGCTTGATACAGTTATCTATAAGAAAAGTCGACATTAGAATGCAGTTTGCTTAAAACCACCTCAGAGTGAATTTATCTAAAGAGCTCTAGTGTGCCTAAAGGTTAGAAGACAGAAAGTTTTAAAAACTACATTGTTAATTTGTGTTGCCTCTGATCTTGATTTGACCATGTTTTCTATGTCTGGGGTGTATTCACTAGGAACCCAACAGAACCAAACGTAATGAAACGGGGATGGATCTACCTGAATATGTCCAATAGAAACTCCTTTTAATTTTTTTGCAAAACGTTTTCTGGTTTGGAGCAAATGGTTTCTGTTGCAAAACATTTAGCAACTTTTTGCTACGGTCTTCGTCTAATGAATACACCCCTGGTCAATAGGTCTAATGTCCAGCCACTGAACTTAATGAGTCAGTTGACACAATCAATGGACTCTATGCACTCCAACAACTTTAACATTCCAGCCACTGGCCCGAGACATGCATTACACAATTTCACACAGGATCTGTTGTGTTGTCAACTAGTTAAAAAAAATAATATCCTTGTATTTACTGTATATGTGTAAATAAAAGCTTTAGGTATTACATTATATAGATACAGCACAGCTCAACACTGTTATGTTTTGTGTTTGTTCTTTTTTCTACATGAAATGTATGTTACATCAGTCAAGTATTATGCCTCCTTTATCATGGCAGAAAGCTATGTATTTAATGGACAACAATGTGTTGCTCTGAACATCTGAATCTAATCCAAACTTGAAGTGCAGTAAATGGATGTTAGGTAATGTGACCACTGTATTGAATCAGTTATCTCTGTTTTTAAGTTGACTGTTGACATTCTTCAAACCCCTTTTTTCTCCCTTGTCAGCAGACAAACTGGTGATCTGATATAGTGAGCATGAAAAATCAGGACATGACGTCATCATTTAATTCAGCGTATTCTAAATACATTTACATCAACTGTCCACCAAGTTTGAACTTTGGGACAGATTCAAAACCAGATTATTGGATAGATCCAATACAATACTCTTCCACTGTAGTAAGAAAGCATGTTTGTTTCACTCAGTAAACATGGTTTTGTTGAGCGTATGAATCTACTTAAGGTTTTCAAGTAGAGCACAACGGTTCCAGCAGAGGAAGCTCTCT